TCTTCTTCTTCTTCTTCTCCCCCTACTCCTCCTCCTCCTCCTTCTCCTCCCTCTCCTCCTCTTCCTTTTTCTTCTCTAGTAACACCTTAAATCTTCGGCACTTAAATATAACCGTATTGTGTTGCAAGTGCGTAAAACACTTTTTAACCCCCTCTCCCCTCTCACCCTCCCCTCCATCCACAACTTTCCCAAAACAGGTGACCGTTGCCGACTTCCACATGTTTGAGATGCTGGACCAGCACAACACCTTTGAGCCCTCTCTGCTGGACAACAGCCCCAAACTTAAGCAGTTCTGGCAACGTTTCCGGGACCTCCCCGCCATAAAGGCGTACCTGTCATCTGACAAGTACAAAGAGAGACCCATTAACAACCCCTCAGCCAACTGGAAATAAAATGCCGAATATGAAAATACAGTACTTGTAATGTTTTGGGCTGATATCATGTTGAGCTTTATTTATTAAGTTTTTAATAAAATTTCATCGTTACTTTTCATTCCATCGTTCACAACAAGACGCCATGATGTGTATGTTCTTCAATAAAATCCCGAGGAAAAACCTCAGTCAAGTCAAATAACTCGTTATGTTGTTACTTCACGTACAATTTGTGAATGTGTTCCCGTGCTTTTTAACTTTTTCTTCAGTATCGTCGCGGATTTCGATGTCGTGACTTTTGTTTGAAACAAAAAGTGACATTTTTTCACCTTATATTGTTTGAGTTTCAAGCCATCAACTTCCGTGACTACTCTAATTTTATTATTATAGTATGTGCCATGATCATTCAGTCACAGGCATGCCTCTTATTCACCGTATTGTGTTTTAAGAGAGCGTATAAATAGTATAACCAATAATGGGGCTCTCGTGGTCAACAGGTTAGGGAGTTCGCCTCTCATTCAATAGGTCTCGGGTTCAAATCTGGAAAGTGGCGAGAAAATTCCATTCTTTCACGTCTTTTCCTGTCTCTAACAATATTCTGTCGTCTGCTTTCGTCTCCCCTTTTTGCCCCAACCGCCTCACCTCCTTTGCCCCCTCCTCTCGGCTCCGGAGTCTTTCTGCAGCCTTTCTACTGCTACGCCTAGACTCGTTTTTAGTTTTAGCAGAGGTTTTTCGGCGCTCGCAACTGCATAAGTTCATATGAGCGCCAAGGGGTGGATGTCAACAGAGAAGTCCTTACAGGGAATCAGACTTACTCTGCTCACCTCTCTAGCTTCAACAGCACAAAGTCTGCTTCGACTATCAAGGCACCCTGGAAATAGTGGGTCACAAGAGTGGGACAAACATACAAAAGAAGTAGAGGAAAATGACGATTGTAAGGATTAGGAAAGAAAAAGCAGCAGTTCCTTGTTGTAAATCAGGCACAGTTATGAGCGTGACATTGATGAATCAGCCCATTTACAGTTCTACTGTGTGGGTGGTTGGCGGGTGCTCTGGTGTGGTTTGCTCCTTCTTTCCTATCAAACATCTATCGTCTTTATTTCACCTCCTTCTTTTTTATGTTTGTTACTCCCTTGTAACACCTCTAATCTTCTGGCACTCATATGACTTTAAGCTGTTGCGAGCGCCGTAAAATCTCTACTAAAACAAACAAATTCTACTGGACATGAACGAGAAATGTCCCCCCTTTGGGAATGGCCTAAAGACATTTCAGTCAGTGGCACCGCCCCGGGGAGTTCCTAGACTCGAATTTAACTAATGATTCGGGTATAAAATGTTCTTGTCCTTCCTGGAATAGAGTCTACTTTCCTCTCTGGATAATACCTGGTCGAATCTGAGTTGGATGTGCTTTCTAAAGACACATGACTGGGTTGAGGGTTTTATTTTGGTTTTGTTTTTTATTTTTTGTTTGTTTATTTGTTTTTTGAGTAAAGCAAACACCGGTCTTTTAGTGCTGGGGAAAAGCAAAACAGGCAGGTGAAAATTTACACGTTCATTTTATAAAGTTTTCTTTTATTTGATTCAGAAAATGACAGCAGAAAAAACAAATGCATAACACCAGTGCGCCTTTTCATTCATCATACATGTAATCACCCACCCATCAACAAACTCTCCCCCCCCCCTCTATATAGCCATTGTTTAATCTGCATAGTACATTTCTTACTATACATATCGTGGGTATGC